AATTCTGTGCGCACTAGTCAAAAATTCGCCCTCAAAAATTAACCAATGATCGCACATAATTTTCTGCGCAGGCAGTTCCGTAATATAACGTTAAACTTTAGTCGCTTTAGTTGCATTCTTAATACGACGTAATATTGATTAGACAAGTTTTTGCCCAGTTGATGTCAGCGCAAGACATGATCGAGAGAATGACGGAAACATGATAAAAGTGATATAAACAAACGATAATAATATGACGAAAAGCATATCATTAAACTTAGTCACTTTAGTTATGACAACATGATACTGTTAAGACATGTTTTTTGCCCAATTGATGTCAGCGCAAGACATGAGAATGGCAGAAATATAATAAAGTGATGTAATAATTAGAATAATATGTCGAAAGAAGCATGAAAATAAAGACGACGTAATATTGATAAGACAAGTTTTTGCCTAATTTGATGTCAGTGCAAGACAAGATCGAATGAATGACGAAAACATGATAGAAGTAATATAAAAAAATGATAATAATATGACGAAAATAGCATAGCATTAAAGCTTTAGTCTCTTTAGTTATGACGACATAATAATGTTTAAGACAAGTTTTTTGCTCAATTGATGTCAGCATAAGACATGATCGAGAAAATGACAGAAATATGATGAATTGATATAATGAATATACTTTTTAGTTGCGTTATTATGATGACAGAATGTAGACGTTAAGCTAATTAGTCGTAAGCTAGCACAATTTTGATCAACGCAAAACATAATCTAAGAAAAATGACGGAATGATGGAAGAATGATATAATAAGAAGAAAACGTTTTCTCTATAAAAGCATCCCTCTAAGCTTGGGTAGTGGGTGGGTAAAGTCTAAGTATATAAGATTTTCCGTAAAGATCGACACAAAAAATGCTATTAATGTGTATTTAAAGGTTAGCAGGAAAATATATTAGGGAAAACTAATTTAAACAGAACAAAAATCGAAAATTTAAATGCCTTAAAATATTTATTCTATATCCTTGATTATTACATACCTAATTAGAAATTTATTTGATTAAAATTGGTGTAAGTTGATTGGAAGTAAAGCTGTTTAGCATTTGGTTGCCGTAAACACAATAAGCTAACAATAATAGTTTTTCTCATCATTACTTCAAATTATTATGGCTTGTGTGATTAACGATTACGCGAAACATAATTTGTATAATATTGGCCAAGGACTATTACTGTCTACGCACTATAAAAAATTTTTCGATTACATAAATTTCTCTGTCGACACATAATGTCGACTAATGATTGTGATTGATGGTAATGACGCGTTATTATTATCCCATGTAACATATTAATATGTAAAATATTAAAATTGGCGAATGAAAGTTCCTAATTAACATAAAATACATTTTCATCGCCTTTACCTGTGCATCTTACTAACTGTTTTTGATTTTTCTCCGATGTTTATTTGTCTGTTTAAATTAGTTTTCCCTAATATACACATTTATAGCATTTTCTTGTGTCGATCTTTACGGGGAATCTTATATACTTAACCTTTACCCACCCACCACCCAAGCTTAGAGGGATGCTTTTATAGAGAAAACGTTTTCTTCTTATTATATCATTCTTTCATCATATTTCGTCATTTTTCTTAGATTATGTTTTGTGTTGATCAAAATTGTGCTAGCGTACGACTAATTAGCTTAACGTCTACATTCTGTCATCATAATAACGCAACTAAAGTATATTCATTATATCAATTCATCATATTTCTGTCATTTTCTCGATCATGTCATATGCTGACATCAATTGAGCAGAAAACTTGTCTTAAACAGTATTATGTCGTCATAACTAAAGAGACTAAAGCTTCAATGCTATGCTTTTTTCGTCATATTATTATCATTTCTTTATATCACTTCTATCATGGTTTCGTCATTCATTCTATCATGTCTTACACTGACATCAAATTAGGCAAAACTTGTCTTTACAATATTCCGTCGTCTTTATTTTCATGCTTCTTATTACAAACAACACTTCATTATATTTCTGTCCCATTCTCTTGATCATGCGCTGACATTAATTGTACAAAAAACTTGTCTTAACAGTATTATGTCGTCATGAACTAAAGAGACTAAAGTTTAATGCTATGCTTTTCGTCATATTATTATCATTTGTTTATATCACTTTTATCATGTTTCCGTCATTCTCTCGATCATGTCTTGCGCTGACATCAATTGGGCAAAAACTTGGTCCATACCCCTTACTAGCTGCTGCGAATATCGATTGACTAATCTTTAGCCTACAGAATGTCGCAACAACCTTTTCAAGCTTGGCAGATCCAACCATGGGATTATCAACAATACGAAGAATCAGTACAGCCGCAACAACAACAGCAACAACAACAAGCACAACAAGCACAACAAGCACAACAACAGTATCATAACACATGGCCATATTCTGCCTCACCTGCAACTTATCAACAACCAACGCAACTGGAACACATTGATGGCTCAAACCAGTATTTATCATACCAAAACGACTTGCAAATAGAACAATATCAAGCATCACTCAATCTTTCACAATTACCTGCTGATGCGCTCACCTTTGGTGGTCTGCAGCACAATTGACTGATGAACCGTCACCGTATATAGACGATTCCAGTCCGACTGCACATGAACAACTAGTACGTAATTCTATCCAGCAACAGTACGACACTCGGTCTACTTGGCAAAACTTACTTATGTATCAGCAGCAACGTCAGCAACAGTGGTTGCCACAGTACCCGTATTCGAGACAGCGGGAAGTACAAACACCAAACGAAACGTTTGCGCCGATGCAATCCGTGCATCAATTGGACGGACAAAACGCTGTTGAAGACATGCTCAGAATTGTTCCAATCGAGTTTCATGTCCAATCACAGGTTCGTATATTCGACTTACCGTAGGTAATTGCACTAAACTTTCACATTCACATATCGTTATACCATTGTAGGTTTATCCAGCTACGAACGATCCAATTATGCCTCAGTCGCAAGGAAATGTTTACCAAGTTTCTGAATTACAAAGCGATTTTAATCCATTAGGAAACGGGTTCCCAGGTCAACCTTCTCAGACCACTGACGAGCAAGTAATCAGCCATCGGCGGCAGGAAGAGCCTAATAACGTTTATAATAAGGAATGGATTGAGGACTGCATTCGAAAGGGTTCTATCCGCTGCTATCCAAAAAACGACATTGATGTTGGTCGTGCTATTGCTGGCGGTGCCTATGGGGTAGTGTATAAGGCAACAATGAAACACAATAAATTGACTGTCGCCACAAAAACTTTGTATCGGGATGCCCACGGTTCTGATGAAAAATTTTACAAAACGCTTGTCAAAGAGGTTGGTCATTGTAATAGATTAGGGCATATTCTTTATAATAGCTAGATTATAACTAATGGTTTATATTCAGCTGAAAAACCACGAGAAAGTGAGCGGGCATCCAAATATTATTCGATTGTTAGGTGTCTGTAAGTAACCTACCCACTGTCGTTTTGTACTTGTATATCTGACACATGACAATTGTTTTGCTTTCCAATCTAATACTAAGACGAAGATGATGGTTATCATATGATTTTCGAATTTGCCAATGGCGGACCTTTACGCAAACACTTATCACAACATTTTCGCAGTTTAACATGGGAAAAAAAGTACAAACTTAGTCTGGAAATTACTAATGGTCTGAAGTACATGCATAAACTTGACATCATCCACAAAGACTTGGTAATGTGTAATTACATTTTATTTAGTCATGGTAGCCTGAATGATTATACACTAATAATTATGATGCTCCTAACCCTTATTTACAGTCTTCCTCCAACATTCTTATCAAATCTGGTATTGCAAAAATTGCTGATTTTGGTCTATCTGGACAGAGTATATCATCATCAATAGGAGAAGGTACTGCAGCATACAGAGATCCATTATCATTTAGAATTCAATTATATAAACGTGGAAAAAAGTCTGATATCTTTAGTCTTGGAGTAATATTCTGGGAAATTTCTAGTGGGCAAATTCCTTGTAAAAATTGGACCAGTATAGCAGAATGTAGAAGGCAAGGCTATCGAGATTCACCCTCTCCAGAAACACCAGGAGCATATGTTCAGCTATATTCAGCATGTTGGAATGAGAACCCTGAAGAGCGACCATCTTGCAAAGAAGTACACAAACAATTACAATGGTTATCTGATGACACAAACCATCATTTACCAGGCAGAATGGTAAATCTTTCTTCAAAACTGAGAGGAGAGGTGACAGCACTGATGCACACATTAATATCAAACCCTTCAATGAATTCTTGGATACTTTCTGATAATCAGATTGGACATGCAGGAGCAACAGCATTGGCAAAGGCTCTAGAGCTAAATTCATCTCTGACTTCTTTGAATCTTAGGTTTAATCAGATTGGAGATGCAGGAGCAACAACATTGGCAAAGGCTCTAGAATCAAATTCATCTTTGACTTCTTTGGATCTGTGGGATAATCAGATTGGAGGTGCAGGAGCAACAGCATTGGCAAAGGCTCTAGAATCGAATTCATCTCTGACTTCTTTGGATTTTCGTTTTAATCAGATTGGAGATGTAGGAGCAACAGCATTGGCAAAGGCTCGAGAATCAAATTCATCTCTGACTTCTTTAAATCTTAGGTACAGATGCAGGAGCAACAGTATTGGCAAAGGCTCTAGAATCAAATTCATCTCTGACTTTTTTGAATCTTGATCATTGGCAAAGACTCTAGGTTAAATTCATCTCTGACTTTTTTGATTTTGGTTATAATCAGATTGTAGATGTAGGAGCAACAGCATTGGCATCTCTGACTTCTTTGAATCTCAGTTTTAATCAGATTGGCAATGCAGGAGCAACAGCATTGACAAAGGTCTTAGAATCAAATTCATCTCTGACTTTTTTGAATCTTTTATTATTTATGCAATTATGTAATAGTAAGAATAAATACTTCAATTAATATACAATTGTCATGAAAGTTGACCTTGCACAACACTATAATAATAATAATTGATATATTTGGGCATTTCTCATAATTATTACCATAATAATAATTAGAAAGTTGATGAACCACCACATATTCATAGAAAATTCCCTATCATGTTTTTTGTTTAATGCTTTTCCATAAAAACTCTATTACTATAATAATAAAGAAACAACCTCTCATCAAAAAGAATGTTTTGACATAAGATGGATGAATCTGATTTATTGTTAAATGATAAGATCAATTTCTTTATTGGATTATCAATTGCCATGATTTACAAATTATTGATTGTAAAGGCAACTTTTTCTACATTGTAAACTCAGCGCTTTTATGCTGCGGTAGAAAATTTAATCGCAATAAAACAACATTCAGACTTTTGCCGAAAAATCTCGTGAGCTGCAAGCGACTCATTATTGAGCCGATGCCAATAAATGCACATTATAAATCGAGAATAGCTTAATCGAAAGGCGTACGGGATATATTATATCCGCACGATAGGCGTACATCCAGATGTACGTTAAGGTTAAACTACGATCTCCATACAGCGGAGGGAGACGGTTCACTAAGCCATTAACAGATTTTCGACAACAAAGGGTGTGTATTTTTTAAAACCTAATGATATGTCGGTGTATAACAGAGCGACGAACGAAGAGAGTTAAAGATGTTTGTGTAAATTTCTCCGTTGTACTGTAGTTTTACTATATATTTCTTGTACAGTCAACTGCCTATGCCATTAATTCGACCGATAACGCCGGGAACGGAGGCGGTTGAATTAACGGCAGTTGACTGTACAAGAAATATATAGTAAAAAAAAAAAATCGGGTCTTGCTCAAGCGATCGAAACTATAGGCGAAATCGAATTATCAGAGGTCGAGTTATCGGCAGAGCACATTTACCAACTTTTTTAACTAACATGAGAAGACTAATACTGATGACGTTAAGTGAAAAGAGTCATCATTTATCAACAATGGTACGACATGGAAGATGCGAATTACTATTTTATGATGAACGAACCTGCTTATGGTAGGTTAAATACAATGAAACGGTTTATTATACGTCGGATTACTTCATTTAACACATAGAAGAAGTAACTCAAACTAACGCGTAGTCATCACCAATCACTGAGTATAGATCTCGGCCTGGAACGAGTCACATTTGGTAAACTGAAATTTCTTACGATTGTAACACACTTCACCAACCGTTGAGAGCGTTGATACTTATAATTACTGGATAATTTACCAAACCAGAAGTAAACTTCAATATTAGCTAAGAACATATAATAATATCGTAATTTCGCTAAATTACTTGTATCCTGTTGCAACTACTAAGCTACGTTCAACGGAGAAAGGCAAAGCATTTTTTATTTACTAACTACTAGTATAAAATTGTTCTCCATATTAAATTAATTTAAAAAAAATTGTTGCAAAGTTTACGACCGTGTTTTAGTAATATTTAGATAATTGTCAAATTTAGGCAAATATTAGGTCTATCACTTAGTAAACGCGTTTTTTCAAGTGTCTATACATGGGTCTGTCATCACAATTAGAGACACATAAATTGCCTATAGTAAAACAAACTCCATGCATTATACTGATGCAGATAACTTTCATAATATTAAAAATTTAGATGATTTTCTAACGTAATTTTACCTACAATTGTAAGTCAATAATTAGTTTGTACATAAATATGATGGAATTTATATAACAACGGTCAACATCCAACATCGTCGGCAAGCATTTCTCTTACAGCTGTATAAAAAGCTATATAACTTTTTATAGACAAACTCTCCAGCGGTTATCATTGCTGCCTTGCATATTACGTGTATACCACATTATGCCAGCATTTATAACTATACTTGGTCTGTATTAATGTTCGCTTGCGAGTAGCATCTAAAATCATCTTTTTGAATACCTTTTTCATCTACCTCTGATATTTACTGACTCGTTGATCTGATAACTGGTCATTCGTACTTGTCTGCAAAGCCATTGACGTTTGGTTTCGTAATTTACTCAAAGCGTTTTGAATATAAAATAATTATAACGATTAGCTTTTACCTTTTTACTTATTCGACTCTGGTGTTATATGATATAGATTATTTTATGTACAAAAATAATTGCTGTTTAATTACGCGTCAATGGTAGAATTGCAACAATTTAATCGTATTGTCCATAAGCAACCTGATGCATCGAGAAATTTTTGTGGTTGACCACTAATTGTCAGTTAGAACCAAACCAATCAAAGCAGTCAGTCATTTACTATCTATTCGTCTTGCCAATGAGCAACATTTAATATCGAGTATAGCATTCAAAGTTAATAATATACATTCAACTGTCAAACTTTTAAATGTTGAGCGGCATCCTAAACGTAACTTTAAATGTAATGTCCATAATTTGTGAGTAAATTAATATTAGATAAACGTTTCCGAATAACTAAAGCAGAAGTATAGTTTAGAATTATAATAATGTGAACAAAACATTATCTAACCAAACATTAGAAGTAAGTTGCTTAAATAATTGTAGAATAGTTTTTCATCTATTATTTACAATAATTTTTTTTTGGCAAAACTCATTGATCCTCGCAGGGTTATACTCTAAATTTAATTTACATGTAAAGCCCCCAGATATTCCGTAATATTATGGTCAGAATTTGATTAGTCCTCCAATTTTACAAAGTACATCGCTTATTCTATTACGTTCAACAATATTATGAAGACGTATTTTCTTAGTAAGCGATTCTTCGGCAAACTCCAATTTGATCAACGAAGTTTCCGGCTTGGTTTTTCTCTTTATTGTCACATAAATCAATTGCTTGGCAATAAATGAGCATCGGTTTAAATCGCAAAAAGACAAATTTTACTAGACACACAATAAAGTTCCATCGATTCTTCCATGTTTTATATAGCATATATACGCATGGTGTCTTCTCGGACCAGCATGTGTCTACGATCACACCTTAGTAATTCGCACCGTTTTTCAGTTCAGATGTTCTATAATAACTTGCGTTTTTCTCTAATGAGTATCTACCGACGTTCTATTATATTATGCCAACCTTCTTATTAAGTCTTATTGTTTTATGAAAACGTTTGGTTTGTGATCAATATAGACGGTTGGTAAACCACTAGGCAATTGGGGGACTAATCAAATTGTTCAACCAATAATATTGCGAATAATAATGGGGTTGCAAAAAAAATCAATTTTAGGGTATGACCCTGCGAGTGAGTTTCTCCATATTAATACTAGATTGCTATCTATCGAATTTACGTTTACAAGACCTCCTGAAAGCTTGCAAATGCGGTATCCCGAAAACCATAATCTAACATAACCGAGATACTTAATTGATCCGTAAATTGTTGATTTCAAATCTAAAATCTAACCCGACCAAGCTATTATCAACCATTATCAAAAGATAAAATTATAGTCGTATGACAAAAGTAATTTGTTTTTTCCATGACCATGAATATGTTATATAATACAATAAAAGCAACGCTCGAGAATGCTTTGCTGTAAATAAAAGTTTTATTTGTCTTAGAAAAAGCAGCAATATTAAAGATTTTTTCAATTCGCATGTCCGATCCAATCGGGGTATTGAAATAGTTACACACAATGCTTAATGGCATGGCAAAATATATACGATAATTGCTTTTTCCGACTAGATTAGAAAAGACAATATAACACAGCAGACGAAGACTCAATACTACCTCTTTTGTCGACGTCAATTAATGCTTTAGGAAGAGATACATAGTGTAAAGATTATTTCAGTTATAGGTTTATCAGCAGCATGAGAACAAGTATCAGCCAAAGCACGCTAACTTGCAAAAAATTCCCATCTAAATGCGAGAAAGACGTTTTTAATTTTAAAAATAAGCATATAGTTAAGTCATGTAGAAACACTGTTACTTTCGCAATGAATTCAACCGACGTCGGCTGCCTTGTTAATTAATTGAAAATATATTGCTAAAACAATTTCTAATTCAATTAACTGCGTATGACATACGGTACATACAATATATAACGATATTAGAAATGACTATTGTAAAGCATCAGCATATTAAGATAATAGTCCAAAGGGTAGTTTGTGCTCTTTGTTGTTGATACAATTTAATATATACCGTTTAAGTATAATAAGAACTTTTCGATTACATGCGAGGAATTGGAAGCACGCGTTACAACATAGACTTCGCATCGAAGATCTACTCCGTTTAGTATTGCATATTTTGGTGTCACAGTATTCTGACTGGTTTTTCGGGGAAGACTCCCTAGCGGTGGCGCAGCACTCCTTATCTCCTCATCAAGTGCATAAAATATTTTGATACAATGAGTGCAGTTCTTCCGTGTACAAGTGCACGATATTGTTTGCACAATTCTCAGTCAAATCTCTTAATCATACTTATCAAGTATTGTCTATTACGTGTTTGAATTTTAAAAAAAAGTTGTTTAAATTACTAGACAAACAAACAAATATTGCTTATTTTCGAATATGAAATGGGACATACTTTCTTAACTCATAACGGCAAAAGCCGAGAAAAGATGAGAAAATTGGTTTTACCATTGCCGAGCAAACTTTAACGCAACGGGTTAAGGCAACTTTTAATCGTATCGTAATGATTAAAAAACGTCACTCCTCCGACTATCTATAATTGTTTTCAACATGGTGGTTTTTATAAAATAGAGCCCACTTGGAAGCTTTCTACAAGCTATAAATTATTAAAATTTTTTCATAAGGAATATGATAGTGGCTTATTCTGAGAAAATAATACGGATGAGAATAATTATCGATCAAAATTTATAGGTATTACAAAAACCCAGAGTCAATGATACTGAAGAAAATTACGTACAGGGAAGCATTGAAAAATAGACATAATTTTTCATTGCATTGTACAACAAGAAGTAGACAAACCGTTTCGGTTCCGATGACAAGAAAATTTCTAAATAGAGCGTATACTTTTTACAATACTATGTCTTCTTTTTCTAATCCGTTTATTGAATTCACTATTCGCTTAATTCGGAAATTAGATTGATATAGTGCACTACACAATGATTTCACGTAGTTGGTTGTTATTGATCACTTAAATGCATGTCGTCGGTACCATCCCGACGACCAGCACTTAGGGAAACAATCTCATGCCTCAAGCGGCAGTACATTATTATCGATTCATATTCAATACGTAATGACAATTTTATAGTCAGTCGTTTGACCGGAGAAACCCCTGCATCAAACTGAGATGATGTGGGATTCATCTTATTTGCTAGGTTCCAAAAAAAGCAAGATATATACAATATAAAAATATAAAGTAATATTGTGGAAGACACAAATCTCGTCTGACCAGTCGCCTTGCTTTAATTTATGCACAAAGCCTCTCATGTTTACACAATGACCTTACCTTACTTTAGCTACCAAATGTTGTACAAGACAGCGACTTGGAACAAACGGAATAGTTATTGCGTTGATAAACTATCTATTTCATCATGACATGTATCATGATTAGTGTCAAAATTTGCCAACGAGAGGCTAGATTTAGGTAAACAAAACTTGGAAGTTTATCTACAGCGAAAGTTCAATAATAATCTCAATTATTTTCGTTTTGGAGTTAAAATTTGCAGGTTTAAATTTAAAATTAATGCTGCATCTAGTCTACTTATTATGACGGCAACTTTTACCCAAAATGTGCCGAAACTTCATAAAAGGGCCTGAATATAACGAAATCTGCTAGAACGACGAACGAAATTTGTTGGTCATGCTTTTATGTAATTAATTGTGCATATACAGTAAATACCTAATTGTATATTTGATTATGTAAGGTAATTAGTGGAAGTCTTTAAATAGAAACAGAGCTATCATATTGTTACAATAAACGTATAAATATAAAGCGTCGTCCACGTACCCATTGCTGCTTTACTAAATTTACGCAATTACAAGAAGGTGAAATACTCACAAATATTACGAAACAGAATTTTACATAAAATGGTTTCCCATGAACAATGCTCGGATAATGAATACCGGCAATGGATAGAAAATAATATTCAAGAAAAGGCTGTTAATTATTTTTAGAAAGTGAAATTGATGAGAGTCGTATGGCTGTAGCTTTTGGCGGATGCGGTGTAATACACAAGGGAATAATAAAGAGCACTAAAGAGCTTGTTGCTATAAAAAAGTTGTACAGCTTTCCGTGCAACTGTAATAAAACATTAGACAAAATGTTTGTCAAAGAGGCAGGTCTTTTTTTTTTAATTTAATTGCCTACGTATAAACCTGCATCTCCAACGTTTTGATTATCAATACACAGGTAAAGACCCACCCTAAAGTTGAATAGTCATCCAAATATACTCGAATTTTTGGGCTTATGTGAGTAATCATTGCGTGTGTTACAATATGTATTTTTGATTTTAATTTCTCTAAATAAACATAAATTTATCTTATGTGTTTTGTATACGCGTATTAGACAAAGATAAAGACAAAAAATATTGTATAATTTTCGCATTTGCTGACGGCTGACCCTTACGTAAGTACTTACAAGAACATTCTAGCAAGTTAACCAGACGAGATATGTACGAGCTGGCCTTGGCAATTACCGGCGGTCTGCAGTACATGCACGATCATAATATCATCCACAAAGATTTGGTACTGTGTAATGTGTTTTACTTTCTTTACTGATTGATTACCTGACGCAATTAAAACTCACCATTACCGTTTTCTATTAAACTTCTTATGTAGTCCTCTTCTAATATACTCATCAGAAATGGTGTCGTAAAAATTGCCGACTTTGGCCTATCCGGACAAATCATGTCTTTATCGAGAGGGAAGGGTGCTGCTCCATACAAAGATCCCCAATCATTTATATCTCCAACGTACAAATGTGGAAAGGAGGCTGATATATTTAGTCTTGGAGTAGTGTTATGGGAAATTGCTAGTCAAAAGAAACCTTGCGAAGGATATACTCGAAGTTGTGATGTGTTTTACCGAAGATTAAATGGATATCGTGATCCGCCCGTCCCTGGAACGTCTATAGCATACATCAAGCTTTATGCAGAATGCTGGAGCAAAAACCCTGACCGACGGCCAACCGCGAAACAAGTGCGCAAAAAAAACTTGAGAATCCACTGGACGATACACCGGTGTATCAATTGGATCTTTTCCACGATCTGTTTAAAGGTACGCAAATGATGGTTTCGTAAACGATATTCAACTGAGTTACTATCAATGGTATTTGGATCGGATTTGCAGTACAGAAACATTCGATCCATTAATGTATCTAGATCAAATTACGAATACTAGTCTGATAACGTTGACAGAATTAGTGAATCAAAACCCGTGTCTGTATAATGCACTTGGTCAAATAGTTAGTGCAGAATTAACAAAGACACAGGGAATGAAACTCGTCTTTAAATTCTTTATGCAGTGCAGGAATGACGCATGGGTTGCTAATGTTGTAGCGAGAGCTGGTGCATTAATTTATTGACAGAACGCCTAATATTTATAGATAGTGACATATAGAGAGAGAAGAGACATTTACTAAACAATAGATTTTTAGACATTACTATTTTTACTGCCTGGAGCAATGACGATTAATCAAAGCTTGTAAAAACACAATTACAATATCTACGTAATTTTAGCTATATACCACCATCCTTTGCGGGTAGCTTTGTAGCGGTAATTATTAGATGCATAGTCTATACGTACACATTAGTTACGAGAGTAATAAACAAATTTATTTATGAAACACTAGATTGAGCAATCTGTAGAAAGTATTTGCATCAAGTTTTATGTCAACGTTTTGGAAAGCTTTTTTTTAACAGGTATAAATTTTCATATCGCTTGCTCATAAAGCGCGTAACATTATTTGCTAATAAAACTAGAAGTTATTTTACGTTATATATCAGATTTTAATTTATCAAATGAAACTGACGTATGCCGGATTGAGACAATAGAAAATTAGTAAATTGTAATGCTATTAAGTTTGACATTGTGGAATGACTGCGAAACAAATAGTTTATATTATTGCTAGAACGTTAAATTTGATACAGATCAATTACATTGATTGCTTGCATTGACCAACCCCAAATTCTGCCAACGAACCGTCGTATTAGCTCGTGCCGTGCTATGTAAGACAATTTGAATTTTGTCGATCTCACAGCTGGAGACCATCTCTTTGTACTGTTATTACTGCACTTATGTGTTTTTAACTCGAATGTAATTAGCTGGTTAATATACCAAGATAATGTCATGGTTTACCCGTACTTTCATTAAGCAAATTACCGTGGGTAGAAGATATCGAACAAGGTATACGAATCGTTGTTCTCGAACAAAATTTTATTAACATTAACGTTTTATTTTGTGAACAAGCGCGATGCTTGCAGAGTAATAATAATACTTTTTCTTCACAATAGAATTTAAGGATTGAAGTAACTTTTTCTAATTTAGATAATTCGGAAGACTGATGATGACAAACTCATGTTTTAAATATATTTGAACATTACAAATACTACAGAAGCAACACATTCAATTATGGCAAATGTTCCATTGTAAAATTACTTTGGCAAACGGAAAGGGTCGATACTTTCAATATTTTAAGTTAATGGAATAGAATCAGCCAGTATATATATATGTATACATAGTATATTGGAACCCATCTAAAAAACCCCAGTTATAATTAGCGATCCTTACATATTAATATGCTTTAAGACACAGTCTGGTCTCTTTTTACCAACATAGAGTAGTTTTATTTGCCACCATCTCATTTCCCCGTAGAATAATGCCGTGTAACGTGACCTGCTTATAGTACTACTCAATGATTGGCTCATATACAACTATATTGTATTGCGAATGGCGGAGTCTTTGTAGTGGGTGTGGTTAACCTACAGAATGTCTCAACAACCGTCTCAATCATGGAATTATCAACAATACGAAGAATCAGGACAACGACAGCAGCAACGTCACACTGCCTCATCTGTGACTGATCAAGCATACTATTGGGATGGCTCAAAGTATGTGTATTATCAAAATTTACAAGCAGGGCTACAGTTTCGACAAGGCCAATCATTGCTCAACCATTCACGATTACCCACTGGTATGTTTACCTCTGGTGGTCTGCCAACGGATTCTATTTCGCAATCAACAAACGTACCACAAATGCCAACATATATAGGCAATCCGAGTCAGCAACCGAGCGACGTTCTGCTTCCGCAACAAAACCTGTTTACACAGCAGCAGCAATATCAACAACAATCGTTGTCCCAGTATTCGAGACAGCCGACGCAATCTCAACGGGAACTGGTTCGACAGAATTCGGTCCAAAATATGGTTGGAGTCGTTCCGGTCGAACCATTAGATTATACTCAATCGCAGGTTTGTCTGGTTATCATTATATTCGTTTGACTATGAGTATCGTATCAACCTCAGCCTCATACATATCATTATGACATTACAGATCTATCCAACAGAGATTATTCCACATCTATTTTCGTCACAATCAAACATTCAGCAAACATCCCTACTAGAAGACAACGTCGGTCAATTGGGGAATGGGCGTTTACGTCAATTTTCTCGGATGGAAACCGATGAGCAATCTACGCAATCTATAGCTATTGGTTATCAGCGGGAAAAACCTAATAAAGCATGGATAGACAAAAGTATTCAAGAAGGTTCTATCCGCTGTTATCCAAAAGACGACATTGATGTTGGTCGTGCTATTGCTGGCGGTGCCTATGGAGTAGTGTATAAGGCAACGATGAACACAATAAATTGCCTGTCGCCACAAAAACTTTGTATCGGGATGCCCACGATTCTGATGAAAAATTTTACAAAAAGCTTGCCAAAGAGGTTAGTCGTTGTAATACATTAGGGCGTGTGCTTTATAATTGCCAGTTTATAACTAAAAATTTACACACGTCAGCTGAAAAACCACAAGAAAGTGAGCGGGCATCCAAATATTATCCGATTGTTAGGAGTCTGTAAGTAATAAGTAACCTACCCACCGTCGTTTTGTACACAATGATGTATTCTTACATACGACAAATTTTTTTTTTCGATCTAATACTAATATTAAGATGAAGATGATGGTTATCATATGATTTTCGAATTTGCCAATGGCGGAACTTTACGCAAACACTTATCACGACATTTTCGCAGTTTAACATGGAAACAAAAATACAAACTTAGTCTGGAAATTACTAATGGCCTGAGATACATGCATAAACTTGACATTGTCCACAAGGATTTGGTAATATATGATTACACTTTATTTTGGTTATGGTTACATAGCCTAAATGATTATACACTAATAATTATAATTATTATTATGATGCTCCTAACTTTTATTTACAGTCCTCCTCCAACATTCTTATCAAATCTGGTATTGCAAAAATTACAGATTTTGGTCTATCTGGACAAATTATATCCTCATCAATAGGAGAAGGTACTGCAGCATACAGGGATTCCTTATCATTCAGAATTCAATCATATAAACGTGGAAAAAAGTCTGATATCTTTAGTCTCGGAGTGCTATTCTGGGAAATTTCTAGTGGACAAATTCCTTGTAGACAATGCACTCGCTATAGTGTGGCAGAGTATAGGAAGCAAGGTTATAGAGATACCCCAGTTCCAGGAACACCAGAAGCATATGTTCAGCTATATTCAGCATGCTGGGGTGAAAATCCTGATGAAAGACCATCATGTGAAGAAGTGTACAAACAGTTACACCTATTATTTGATGATAAAAATTATCATTTACCAGGCAGAGTGCTAAATCTTTCTTCAAAACTGAAAGATGGAGGGGTGGCATCACTGATACATGCATTAAGATTAAACCCTTCAGTTAATTCTTGGATACTTTCTAATAATGAGTTTGGAGCTGCAGGAGCAACAGCATTGGCAAAGGTTCTAGAATCAAATTCATCTGTGACTTCTTTGAATCTTTATTATAATCAGATTGGAGATGCAGGAGCAACAGCATTGGCAAAGGCTCTAGAATTAAATTCATCTCTGACTTCTTTGAATCTTAATGTTAATCAGATTGGAGATGCAGGAGCAACAGCATTGGCAAAGGCTCTAGAATCAAATTCATCTCTGACTTCTTTGGATCTTGTGGGTAATCAGATTGGAGGTGCAGGAGCAACAGCATTAGCAAAGGCTCTAGAATTGAATTCATCTCTGACTTCTTTGAATCTTGATCATAATCAGATTGGAGATGCAGGAGCAACAGCATTAGCAAAGGCTCTAGAATCAAATTTATCTCTGACTTCTTTGAATCTTGAGGATAATCAGATTGGAGATGCAGGAGCAACAGCATTGGCAAAGGCTTTAGAATCAAATTCATCTCTGACTTCTTTGAATCTTGATTCTAATCATATTGGAAATGCAGGAGCAACAGCATTGGCAAAGACTCTAGAATCAAATTCATCTCTGATCTTGATTCTAATCATATTGGAAATGCAGGAGCAACAGCATTGGCAAAGACTCTAGAATCAAATTCATCTCTGACTTCTTTGAAACTTAGCTGGAATCAGATTGGAGATGCAGGAGCAACAGCTTTGGCAAAGGCTTTAGAATCAAATTCATCTCTGACTTCTTTGAATCTACAGAATAATCAGATTGGAGATGCAGGAGCAACAGCATTGGCAAAGGCTTTAGAATCAAATTCATCTCTGACTTTTTTGGATCTTGAGGATAATCAGATTGGACATGCAGGAGCAACAGCATTGGCAAAGACTCTAGAATCAAATTCATATCTGAATCTGAAGTGGCATTAAATTGGGTGATAGAGCAAAATTGGCAAAGGCTCTAGAACCAAATGCACCTCTGACTATGACTTGTGTAGATGGTTATTAACATTATTATAAGATTGGTTGTGCGTAGAGATCTACGCTAGACATTTTTATGCAATTTCGTCCTTTTTTTGGATGTTTACTATGTTAAATTTAGTAACGTCTATACCATACGTAGTAAAAGATCAACGGCGAAATC